TACTCAAAACATAATGCTTCTAGAGCATTCATACAACACTGCTGACTTCTGAGTTTAATGGTTTAGGTTAGTAGGAGGTAGATTGGAAAAGGCCAGCATTTAACAATTATTGGGAGACGTTGGCTATGTCTTCTCAAGTTCAACTAAACTAGTCTGGGCTGACAATGGTGATTGTAAAAATGTTATTAGGGTCCATTTCACGGGACAGATGTTGCTTCTCTTGCAAGCCTTGGTCTGCTACCAGGAATTAGATTCACCCAGTATTTAGTTTGGAGCCATATTACTTGGGCTGATACTCCGTCCAGACCCCAAGTCACTAATGTTACAAATTAAGGACATAATTTTTATAGATTCATTTATCATTTGACCATTCCTCTCCATCTTCTGAAAATGACTGAAGAAAGATTAAACTCAATAAGAATCAAACATTACCCAAAAAAGAGAGAGAAATAAGGAGGTATTACTTAATTGTTGGAAAAATGAACTTTTATCTAGATCCTAATGCCAAGAGAAATACCTGTAGTATACCTCATTAGCAGTAATTGCACTGTTTTATAAATATCTTTCAGAGTTATTTCAAATGCTACATATTTTTACTTCAGATGTATGTATATGAAAATAATACCAAAGAATTGTTCTCTAAATGTATATGTAGAAGGGGCAGGGATATAATGGCAGGTAATAAAATCTAAGTCTAGAGGTTTCTATTATCCTGCATTCATCAGAATATCCATTCCCTGACAATTATGACTAAGAGTAAAATATTTCTATGTGATTTATGAGTTCCTACTGAATCCACAAGCTGAATCCACACAACTTCATCTCTTCCCTGATACCAGTGGGAATTTGTAGTGCTTCAGATTATACATTACAAAATATAAAGTTTCCACTGTTGAAGAATATTACCTGATGAAAGGAGCATAAAAACAGAACAAGATGTGTTGGTAGAAATATAATATGGCAAAAATATTCTAGCTGATATTTTGGCAATTTGTTATCAAGAGGTTGAAAAAAGAAAATGAATTTTGATTTAGCAATTCCACTTCTAGGACCATATCCTCAGAAAATTACTTAAAAATGGACAAAGGTTTATTTACAGTTGTAAATATCATAGAATCATAATAAAATTGTAGCAACCTAAATGCTCAATAATACAAGCGTAATAAAAATATTGTATGGAATATATAGAAAACTATTCATCTATTAAAATTTTCTGAGTAGAAAAATATTCTTTGTCATGGAAATATGTCCAAATATAGATCAGTGTTCAAAAAAGGAGGGAAGAAATATTTTATTTCATTGGCTGTAAAAAGAAAAGCCTGTGAGAATAATTTTAAGTAGATTTATCAAAATTCTAAATATGCATACTCTGCAGAACAGCAAGCAATTGTATTTCCAGGAGATAAACCTTGCAGGAATATTTGCTGTGTGCACAAATAGAGTGATTATAAATGTATATGTATACATGACCTGAGTTAGTGAAACTGAGAAAGATAAATTCTGCACATGAGCTTTATGAGCTTTCTCGAAAGCAAGTTGGTGGTAGAGGTCAAAAGCAGTAAAAAATATCCCAAACAATTCACCCAATAATTCCTTTTTTAGGAATATATTTTAAATTTAAATTTTTAAATTCTTCTGTAAATGCAAGAACTACTCTGAATATGTCAACAGAAATGGGGAAAAAAAAGAATCAAGAGAAATAAACAGAAAGAATGCAAACATTCAACACTAACAAACCAAGAAGAAAAGTGTGATAGCCTAAGATGAGGATATATTTTTAATATTCCAAAAATTAAAAATCAATTACTTTTTTGGAAAACATAAATTACAAAAATTCAACAAAAGGTATTTTTAAATCAAAAAAATCATGTTACAAAGTTAAAAAAGGAAAAAAGCTTTCATTGTCAGGCACAAAATGTTCTATAGTGAAGGGTTTTCAAAACTTAAACGAACTGATGAACTATTAAAGAAATTAAAATTAGTTTCTCTTTAAACAGTATGATTATTGGTGATTTATTGCACTATTCTAAATTTTCTAAGTGTTCTACTTTTCTAATACACATTTGCTATTAATATATTTAAATTTCAACATATTATTACTACAAATAAAATTTCATTTAAAATTGAAATGGAATCTAATTGAAATTATGAAAGTAGGGAAATGTAATTTTTCTTGTATTGAAAGCACTGAAATACAGGCAAGAGAAAAGTGGAACTAATTTGAGTATTCTGTAAAAAGATGAAGACAGCAATGTACCCTAGCATCAGGGAAGTGGGGGCCAGCACAAAAACTCATGACCAGAAAAAAAGTCACAGGACCCTTCTTTGCTGGACACCTATTTTTTATTTAAAAAAGAAAAGAACATGTGTAAATCAAAATAATAAAAACGATTTAAGTTAAACCCAAGTCACTTCATAAATTATTTAGATCTCTACTGTTCTAGATATATGCTATTCAATACAGTAGCCATTAGCCACTAATGACTACTTAAATTATTTAAAATTAAATAAAATTAAAAACCTCAGTTTCTCAGTAGCACTACCAAATTTCAGTTTCTTAATGATTGCTAGTAGGTCTGTTGGAGAGTATAGATATTGAACATTTCCAGTATTACAGGAAGTTCTATTAGACAGATGGGCTCTACATTCCCCACTTTACTTTATAATTTATTCTGATCTACCTTTCAGAAGTGAAAACAAAAATCTATGACCTATTAATTTTTTAGAGTATACTCCACTGACTTCCTATATAAATGATATGAGATGACTCAAAAATGCATATTACTAGACCAAGCCCTGAATTTATTAATTTTACAAGCTAAGCTTATATTTTAGAACAGACTATTAGATTTCAGTCCTGGATCTCCATTTCACATGTCACCAAGTAAATATTTGAAAATTTCTAGAAATGTTTTGGAAATGGAAGTTTGTTGGGGAAGCTACTGGCTTCTGGCAGGTAGAAGCCAGGAATATTACTATATGTTCTATAATGCAAAGGATAGTCCCCCCCCAACCCCCAGCAAAGAATTATCTGGCCCCAAATACCAATAGTGCTAAGGACAATAAACCCTGATCCAGTCTGTGGAAAAGCCATAAAATTGCTTTTCAAGTAGCTTATCTTACATCCAATATATCATTTTTCATGTATAATGAATGTCTTTTCTAGACTTTCTAAAAATTAACTCTGCTATAGACTGAATAAGCATTTGTGTTCCCCAAAATTCATAAATTGAGGCCTACATCCCTAATCTGACAGCATTTGGAGGTGAATCTTTGAGAAATAATTATGGATGGCATAAGGGTGGTGTGTTCACTAATGGAACTATAGTGTTATTATAAGAAGATGAAGTGTTCAAAATTTGCACCCTTCCCCAAGCCAGGTTATAGAAAGAAGGGGTCCCCTGAAAATCAGGAAGAGGGCCCTCACCAGAAATATAATTAGTGGGCTCCTTGATATAGGATTTCCCACCCTTCAGAATGATGAGGATTTCATTTCTGTTAAGCCAACCAGTCTGTAGTATTTTTGATACAGCAGCCATGGCTGACTTAGACAATCTCCTTTCCCACAGATGTTTAAGTAGACAAATTCATCTCATTTTCATTTCATTCCTTTATTGTCTTCCTAAGATTCTATCTTATTCATTTTAGATCAAACTAAGAGTCCGTAAATCTGTCACACATTTACAAATATTTTTTGGACTGTTTCTTTAGTAGTTAATATTTATCCATTTTTAAATATAGTTTCATTGTTAGAAAAGTCAACTTACTTTCTTATTTCAGTTCACTTTGCTTCCATGTTCAAATAATAATATGCATTCCTAATATGTTAAGGAAATAGAATTTTGGGGTCTATTATAATTTTAGTTTATGCTTAATGAAGAAATTTTAGTTCTGATTATTATCACAACTGCCTTAACCTAAGTACCCTGTAGGAAAGGACTTCAGGCTTACATAAAAGTAATTTTTCATTTCAATGCTTTCATAAAATAAAAACATTATTTTTTTCTTAAACATTATTTCTAGTCTGAGTCCCCAAGTTAGTTCAGTATAAAGATTATTATGGCAAAATGGACCTGAGCAACACAACAGATACTGGCAGTAATCTGTGTGGCAGCTCATCCATATTTATATCAATTTCCGTTGAGGTCATTTCACCCACCACTCCTTATAGCAAGATAAGCTACATAATTTGCAGGACCCAGAGCAAAACAAAAAAGTAGGGCCGGTGTTTATTTTTTTTTTTAAAAAAAAAAAAAAAAACTATTGTGAAAATAAAACCAAGCAAGGGTTCTTTCTGACCTAAGGCAAATGCACGGGTTGCCTGCCCGTGAAGCCAAGAGGAAAGGGTCTGTTAATCTAACAGTGAAACACACACACCAACACTTTGGTCCTTTCGAAATCATGTTTAAATTTCTCAATATGCTTCATTTTCTCAGTAGGTAAAGTACACTGACGTTTAGTTTGCTTAAACAGTAGCAGAATGACAAAGGGTGATTTGCTGCAAATCATCAACCAGCAACTCTTGCACAGTTCAACTTTTGTCGAGGGACGAAGGGAGATCATTTGGCACTGACGGAGCTTGTACTACGTGTCTGCCACTGAAGATTCCAAATACCTCTTAATTCCATCTACCAAGTAGGTGAACTGAAAATTGGGGGGTGGAGAGAGAGGGGTCTTGAAATTATTCTTTGGTTTCTAAAAACTGTACAGTGGGTACACAGAAACCCTTTCCACGACTTAAGTGGAGACAGCCCTCAGATTTACTAAAGCTTCAGCTCTTGCTCACTTCTCCCGGAAGGCTCTGAGTGCGCGCACAGTCGCTGGATAAGGTAAGGCGGGCCAACCTCTAACACGCTCCACTGACCCTGCTGCAGAACGGAGACGGGGAGGCGAAAAGCCTGCTGGGAAGAGCGAAGTAAGGGAGAGGGCGGGCCCAAGGAGGCGGAGCCGCGGGGTTAGCGGAAAGGGGCGGATCCCGGTGTGGGCGGGGGCAGGCTGGGCCGGGTCCCCGGCGGCCATGTTGAGGCTCCGCCCTCCCCTCCCTGCCGCGTCTTGCGTCCCCACCGGCACCCTTGCCACTGCCGTAGGTAAGACTGGGTACGGGTAAAACAGCAAATGTCCTCGGCCAGCTTGGGTCTAGAGCAGCAGCTGCAAACCAGGCTTGGTCGGGCTGACGCCGAGGCCTGCGGCGCAGATGGCGGCTCGCACGCGACGGCGCCCGAACGCTGCCAAACTGTGGCGCGAGGCCAGACTTTGTCCCGCGCATGGCTCCTCTCCCTAATCCATTTACCTGCACCGAGCTCCTAACAGTGTGTGACCCGGGGCGCTCGGCGTGCTGCATCCCGGAGAAGCTTCTCGTTGTCTAGTGCCCGCTACAGTGGACAGTGTTTTCCCTTTTACAGAAACAGTTCCCTCTGTCTACATGCGCTGCCACCGCACCGAGTAAAAGTGTTCCTATTCTACCGAGGAAACGGGCCTCCCTCGGCGCAATGGTGGCGCCCTCAGAGGGCCAAGGGAGTAGCCCACACACGTTGGGGACACGACAGGCTACCTTCGCGCGCGCCGAAGGAAGTGCCCAGGGGGACCTGCATCTTTGGATTGCCTGATAATAGTTCAGGTTGTAAAATGACCTCTGAGTTCAGTAGGGAACCGGACACCATTTCAGATGGGGTTATCAGGGAGACAGCATTCAAATTAAATGACAACAATTTCGCGTAGGTCCTCTTGGCTCCATTGATCATTAAGTTAAATGGATTAAAATCCTAGGCTAGAATTGTAGTGGGACATACTAGAAGGAAAGTAGGAGGCTGAGTTTTAATATCTTATATATAATTGGAATTGGTGGTAGTGGGAGTTAAAAGGGCAATGTTGAAACATTTCAAATATGAAAAAACAAGTTGCAGCCAGCAGTTGGCGCTGCAGTCTGTTGTTTTGCAGAGAACTGTTCAGGTTGTTAATCGGTAGTGTGGGACATATTGGAAATGAAGTAGATACAAATTCAAGAAGTTAGAATGGTAACCAAAACCACAAGTAACAGTTGACTATCCCATATCCAAAATGCTTAGAACCAGAAGTGTTTTGAATTTCAGATTTTGAACTATTTGAAGATACATAATGAGATATCTTGGGGATGGAACCAAAACAGAATTCACTTCTGTTTCACATACCTCATATACAAAGCCCAGAGGTAATTTTATACAGTATTTTAAATAATTCTATTCATAAAGCAAAAGTTTCATGGTGCAGAGTTTTCCAATTGTGGTGTCTTGTGCACCCAACTTTCAGATTTTGGAGCATTTCAGATTTGGGGATTATTGTTGCTCTGCCTGTAGATATAAAGAAAACTTTTGAGACTTGCGAGAAAATGGAAAGAATGGGCAAAAATACAAAGAACCTGAATTTCTGGATGACATTTAGCTTCAATAAGAAAACAGTAAGATTTGACTGTTTGACCTTTTAGAAAGTGGGTATGTTATGAATAAAGAATATTTACTGTCTTTAACAGTTTTTTAAAATATTGTAGATGGACACAATATCTTTATTTTATTTTTTTATGTGGTGCTGAAGATCAAACCCAGTGCCTGACACGTTTGAGGCAGTCAGTCAACCACTTGTCTACAACCCCAATGATCTTTAGTAGTTTTTACTGATTGGCTTGACATGTTCAAGCCGTGTTCAGTGAACCTTTCTTTTCCAGACACCATTCATGAACTTTCTAGAACAGTTGGATACATTTTACAGTGCCAGTTGGGGGAATTGGTGGTGCGCTATAAAATGGTTTGGTCTTGAGGGTGGTTTTTTGGGGAAGGGGGCGGGTTGGTTTTTGTTTGTTTTAGTGTTTACCTGTGTTTACCTGTTTTTTCTTTTTTTTAAACTGGTTCTTAGTACCCCATTTCTCCTACAAAATCTGTTATAGACCTAAATATATATCTATATTGCAACCTAAATGAAACATATATAGACAAATGACACACAATTGGTACTATGTAAATTTCCATATGTATATTTTACTTAATATCGGTCACTTTAGCATAGTTCATAAGTCAGTTTTATCACCATGTGTAGTAAACTCATAGACCTTTAGTCTGCCTCCCTCCTTCATCTCTTCTCTCCTTTTTCCTGCTAACATTACAAATTTGACCCACAATTCTTAGCTAGATAAATCCATCTTCCTCTACTCTCTTAGTCCTTACTTCTCTTTTCTTGACTCTCAGTAGTTGACTGCATCGCATATTTCCAAGTTATACCTTAACACTTCTTTTTATTTGTTTAAAAAGAAAAAAAAAAGTCTTCATAGTACTCTTATTCCAAGAAAGATTTTGACCAGTTACCAGGGCTTGTGGCAAATAGGTGCAGTGGTGCCTTGCTTAACACTGGGATATTATCTGAGAAAAGGATCATTAGGTGATTTCATTATTGTGTGGATATCACAGAATGTCCCCACACAAACCTAGATAGTATATAGCCTATTGCTCCTTGTCTATAAACAGCATATTACTGTACAGATACTGTAGGTAGTTGTATCACAATGGTAACTTTATATATCAGGAGGAAAGGTACAGTAAAACTATTTGCATACATATATAGGAAAGATACAGTAAAAATACAGGATAAAAGATAAAAATGGTATACCAGTATATGCTACTTGCTATGAAAGGAGATTCCAGGACTGGAAGGAAGTTGCTCTGGGTGAGTCAGTGAGTGGTGAGTGAACATGAAGTCCCAGGATGTTGTGTATACTGCCATAGACTTTCTAAAAAGTATTTTTCTTCAGTAATAAATTATCTTAGTTTACTGTAACTTTTTTACTTTTTAAACTTTGTAATTTTGTAATTTACTTTAAAAACCAAGCATTGTACAGCTATACAAAAATATTTTTTTCTCTTTATTCTATAATATTTTTCTAATTTTTATTTTTGTTTACTTTTTAAACTATTTCACTAAATAGAAAGGCACAAACACACACATTAGCCCAGGTCTACACAAGATGAAGATCATTAATATCATGGTCTACCTTCACATCTTATCCACTGGAAGGTCCTTGGGTCAGGAATACACTTTTGGAGCTGTTGTCTTACTGCCTTCTTCTAGATACCTCCAGGAGGACCTGTCTGAGACTCTTCTTGAGGAGGTGTCACTTTTCAGAAATATATTCATGGTTTTCTTGTTACTTTTTTTAAATTATAAGTTTGGTTGTAAATAGATAATACACCATGAGCATTCTTAATGAAAACCTTTCAGAATTGGAGTTCATGTTTTCTAACTCTTTTGGGGGTGGGGAGGTAGGTACCAGGGATTGAACTCAAGGACACTTGACCACTGGGCCACATCCCCGTCCCTATTTTGTATTTTATTTAGAGACAGGGTCTCACTGAGTTGCTTAGGGCCTCGCAGTTGCTGAGGCTGGCTTTTGAACTTGAGATCCCCCTGCCTTAACCTCCCGAGCAGCTGGGATTAAAGGCGTGAGCCACTGCACCCAACTATGTTTTCTAACTTTTTAAGGAACTTGTTGAGGTCTGAAAAAGCTACTAAACCCTTCTCTGTGAATTTTCTTAAGGACTCTTTTCCGTTTTCTGCAATTTCCTTTTCTCTTGCCTCTTTAACTCTGTGTGCTGTAGACAATAGGACTTTTTCAGCTTCATCATAATCTTTGTAATGGTGCTATAAGAAACTTTGTAATTTATAATCCATTTGGTCTTTTTTCAGGATCATCTGCCCTTCACTGCAGACTAAAAAGCAAGTAGCAATTGGACAGGTAAACTTAGCTTTCATTGTTTATGGGTTAAATGGAAAAAAAATAATAATAACTTGTTTAAAACATCTGTTGTTTTTCACGTAGACAATTTCTATTGAAAAATATAACTACCTAGCGTTTTATAATTATATATTATATATCATGTTAATTCCTAGTTTATGTCCTTTTTTTGTTGTTGTTAAACTTAACATTGTTCTTAATTTGTAATTGAAGGTAGTTTATAAAACAAGTTATGTGGGGGGGACTTTAAAAGATGGCTTTTTTAAAAAATACTTTAACCATGTTTTTTCTGGCCAAATGAATAGTATTTAGTTTTGATTAAGGAATATTATTTTAATTAAGGAATATTCAAAGAGCAGAGGAAATAGACGACTTGTGGTTTATTAAAATTAATGAATAACAAAGTATGTGATACAAATAAAGGACAAGGTGATTTTTAGAAGTTTCACATAGTATCTAAGAACTTCAAAATATTATTCACAAATTCAAGAAATATAGTAATTATTAGGTGCCCCTTAAGTACCATATGTGTCCAGTGTACCATATTTTGAGAAAGCCTACATACTTCCTAGAGCTTTAAGAAAATTCCCATGTAGAATGATCTAGCGAATTTTATTCTTTGGTCTCATGATTTATGTATATAAATATTATACAGTATCCCCCCTGCATAATTTTATTCTTTAAGATAGGATCATGAATAAGAAAAACTGAAGTAAAATGTAATAAAATAACATCTTATGAAACAATTTGTCATTTAAGGATTTTTTTTTATAGTTTGAAAACAAAAACTAGTGGAAGAGATGTTAATTTCTCTCTTTGGAATTGTAATACCCTAATCCTATAGAATCCAGTCAAGTTTTGGTTGTCTTTTTTTTTTTTAAGTACTTAATGATCCTCTACAGAGGCAGGACAGCAAAACAGCTAAGAGAAGGGGCTCTGATGTCAGACTTCCTGAGTTTAAATCCCATTTTTCTAATATAAAATTAAGTATTTGGACTTACTGAAGGGATTGCTTGAAGACAGGATTGAAACTGTTCTCACTTGGAATTTTGCAAAGACATTTCCAAATTTGCTTTTTAAGATTATTATTAACATACCTTTGTAAGAATAATACTAAAGCTGCAGCTGATCAGCCTATTTCACTGAAGAAAACCACCAGAGAGGTAATATCTGTTTCTGGTATCTGGACTTTTTATTTAGTATATAGAACTTATCATTTTATATTTTAATGTAATGCTTCTAGGAATGGGAAGGTAATATTCCCTTGAGAGATACACATTATAATCAGTTTCATTCCTCTTTGCTCAACAGATAAATGGTTTTCCAATTATTTCCATGTATTTACTATTAAAATATAATGTGTAACATTTTACATGTAAGTTTGAAATTACTTTTATATGACAATTAAAAAGATCTGTTGGAGAGAAAAGAAAAATTAAGTGATAAACTTCAAAATTTCCTAAAAACAAGCTGTTCTTTTTATTTAGAAAATAGCAGACCTATGTTGTACAACAAGCTGTTCTTTTTATTCCCTAATAACAGATCTATGTTGGTTTGATTTAAAAGGAGAAATATTAATCTAAAGTTTATGTATCACTTTTTCTCAAAAGCTCTCAGAGGATGAATAATTTGATCTGGTTTAGCATATTGAAAAATACCTATCATAATGTTAATCATCAATAATGTTATATTGTCATCAAAATAATTATAGGCACATCATCTTCCTTCTGTTTTAAAATCAACCATAATTAAAAATACCCATTCCTTGACTTCTTTGTTACAGTTGACAGGTAGACTGTTAATATTTTTTAATCTACTGAACTGGTCGATTACTAACTTGAGATTTTTTTTTTTTTTTTTTTAAATCTGGGGCAGTCTGCAATAGTAAATTATTAATGGTATGACAAGGTATTAAAATTTTCGAGAATCAAGTACAAGTAACAAATATAAATGTGAATATGAAAGTTAGTTTCAAAATGTTATTTATCAGAAAAATGGCATGTGAAAAAATTCTGGATGGAAGACAGTTGTGTATTTAGATAATTGATCTGGAAACAATGAGTTTCATTTCAAGTTTTCAGGAACTAAGTCTTTTTTAGAAATTAATGAGATTAATCTTCACTAGTAGGAAAAGAATGGCATTGAAACAGATTTCCAGCAACAAGTGCTTTGGAGGATTGCAGAAAGTATTTGAACATGACAGGTAACTATTAAGAAGATGTACACAGCTTTAGATATCTCGTTCAATTTGATTTGTTTTGCCTAATTTTAAACAAATATTTATATATTTTGGTATATCATTTCACTTTTGAATGTGGTTTCTCTTGTTATCTATATGACAGTTTCACCAAACTTAATTCTGTAGGGATTGGACTGTGGAGCCTAACAAAGAATACCTTCCAGATTTGTGTTGATGGCCTTCTAAAACTTTATGAAAACATCTATGGGGCCATTAAAAATTCTGAGAACATTTTTAGCTAATGTGTGACTAGAATTTGCCATATTGGACAGTATAGATATGGAACATTTTCATTATTGTAGAAAATCCTATTGAATAGTACTGCTTTGATGAGGTTTCATTTTTAGAAAATGAAATAGAATTAATTGTATTTGAGAGGAAATTTATGAAACTGGGTGAAGGGGATTTTTGATGTTGAAGTAGTGATAAAATAAATTCAGTGTCATTAATGTCACTGGGAAAGGGGTCCAAGGAGGTCCTTGGAAGAAGGGGACCTCAACTCAGGACAACAACTACCTTGATATCTGCAGCAAGACGAATTTCAAAACACACCAGTAAGAGGCACAGGCTGATTTATGAAGCAGAGGCAGTCAGTACACACCCAGAAAGACAGAATTGAGCGCAGACACTGAGGAGAGATGTTCTGTGGTCTTAGAGAATATATACTTATGATTTCTCAGGTATTCTAAGATAGGTTAGAATTTTGTCTAAAGTTAGGCTTTGAATTTTACCATTAATTAATAAGCTTATGATTACCTTCTGAGTTTGTTTCTCTACCTTCAAGTCAGAAGGTAGAGAACTATAAACTTAAGTTCCTGTAATCTATTTATTGTATAATCCTGTGTCATTTAGAGTTATCTTTCAAGAATTGTTCTGGAATGTAATCCTTTGTGTGCTCCAGGATCCTACTAACCATTTAATAGTTTTGCTTCTGCTTTGCTCCCTTTGAAGGTGGGGGAACTTTGAAGAGAGGCACAGCCTTAAAGTTTTGTGTGCCTGGTAGTTATGGCCTGATCCTTCTCCCTATCCCCATCTCAATAACAAATTTCTGTGTATGACATTCTGTTCTTTTGGTAATTGAGCAGCATCGTAATGACATGATAGGAACAGAAGTTTCAGAAGTATACTTGATAATTCTGTTTTTTTGTTTTTCCTTTTATGTTAGTGATAATCATACCACTGTTTGAAATATGCTTTAGACCTCATTTATAACATAGCTGCTTGAAATAGGCCTTTTTTTTTTTTTTAATTAGTATTGTGGTAAAAATGCTAAACATGAGATCTACTCTCTTATCAGTTTTTTTTCCCCTGCGTGTGCCACTTACTTTGTGTTTTCTTTCTTTCTTTCCTTCCTTCCTTCCTTCCTTCTTTCCTTTCCTTTTCTTTTCTTTTCTTTTTTAACATCTTTTTATTCCTCTTAACAAATTTTTAAGTTTACAAAAAGGTTTTAAGGCACCAACTATCCTGGAACATGACTGTGCACTTTTTATTAAGCCAGTTGATAACAGATATTCTGGAATTGGTCATGGATCTGATGTGGTATATCATGAAAGAAGACAGCTTAATTTCCCTAACATTAGTTGAAGACCTAAAAACAGCTGCCAGAAAATTTTTATGACTTCTAATAATCCATAGGAAAAGATGTTTAAAATAGGGTAGAAAAATAAAAGCAAACATTTTCAGAGAATGGAAAGGAGCGTACAGAAAATTTCTCACTAGCAATGATGGGGTCTTTGTGGGAGTCTGTACCTAAAAAGTCAACATAGTCAAGTAACAAAAAGAATAAAAAAATCAGTGAAAACAAAAAAACATTAAAAGGAGAGGGAGGTAGTTCTGGCATACTACATGGTTCATCTCTAAATAGCATTTATAGCTTCTTCGTACTGATCAACTAAAATTGTATATTGAGAGGATGTGGCGAGGAGAAATGTAGGGAGGTACAGAGAACAAAGGTAGGGAAGTTAAATAAAATTCTTCCATAATGGAAATTCAGTAAATAATAACTAAAACTGAAAAATCAAGGAATAAATGAAGACCTGTCATAGATATAGGGTAAATGCTAGAAGAATTAGCTATAAGAGGTAAATGGATCATCTCTTGAATGCGCCAAATGAAAAGGTTGTAGGGTGGGGAAAAACTAGTTTCATATAGAGTTTGTAGAACTATTTACTATTTGTTGTTATTATTTAAAGTATATGTGTAACAGTTTTTTAAAAGAGCTATTCTGAAGCAGTAAATTTAAAACTCCATCTGCAAGGTCAGGGTTGCATAAATGCCTGTTTATATGGGAATGTTCTATGGTTTTTATCAAAATTATCTTACTTGTGATAATAGTGATTGTGATAAAATATTATGATGAAAAAACAGATTAAGGATGTGGAACATTTCAGTGCTCCTGAACCAGCATGTAATTTAAAATATTTGCAATTAATTTTTTTATCAAAGCTGATATATTTCATACATCCCTTTATAAATAGGAACAATTTTTCTTTTTTAATAATAGAAGTGCTACAATGAGGTCTACATTTATTTTTAAATTTATTCTATTCAAAATGACACTGTGCCATTCCAAGCAGAGCCTTACATTGGTTAATCATTATGCCCAACAGGTTTTCTTCTTTCTTTAAGGGACAGTATATTCCTTAAGCCTAGGTGAAGTACTTAGTTTAGATATTCAACCACTTTTTTTGGACCTGTATTATATATTTTACTTTTTACATAGTGCTTAATTATTTTGTCTCTGACTTGATTAATAAAGGGCATTAATATTTTGTTGTGATGATTGTTGTTAAAATTATAGTGTTGAGCTGAAGTGCAAAATGAAATTTGCTATTTACTTACCACCAAAGGCAGAAAGTGGAAAGTGCCCTGCACTGTATTGGTTGTCTGGTGAGTATTATACATTTGAGTTTTATAAAGCAATTTCCTTTTAACTGGCTTTTCTTACCTTTTAACTTTGACTCACTGGTATGCTTTCTGAGCCTCTTATAAAATAGAGGCTTATCATCACCTGCTTTGTAATTTTATCTTAAGAAAACTTCAGACCTGTGGAATTAGATTTACTTCACTCTTTTTTCAATTAGACCAAGTTACTTTGTAGAGAATGTACAGTCCTGGGCTCAAAGGTGAAGGTTTAGAAAGTTACTTATTTAACTTATACCTGCCCAAGCGTTTCTGCAGTTTGTAGAGACTTTGCCAAATAGAACACTATTAGATGGAACCAGAGCACCATAGTACACTAATTGTAGACCACAGACAAGTACCTTCCTGCAGTGTTCTCTATAATATTTTAACTGGCCTCTATAGAGCTTCTCTTGCAACAATCTAGAAAGTCACAAAGAACACTAATGCTTCTTACTCATTGGATAATACTCCTAATCAGACTGTACAATAGATTTGTGAGAGAGTAAGACTTTGACACTAGTAGTTTTGAACCTCTATGCTAATTTCTCTTTCACAAGATATTAGCACTTCATCTTTATAAGAAAGAGTTACAAGGAGAGAGTTATGGCACCCAAATTGTGTCATGGAGAGCTGTCGTTTCTTTAAAATAGGTTCTTACAACATTTATTTAATAAATCCTCCCTATGTATGTATATCAAGGAAATGCCCCAAGCACCAATTTGAAATGAGAATAAATGTTCACTTTAGAAAAAAGACTTAGTTATGTATCTCATTTTAATTCAACAAAGCACTTCGATGACCAAATGAAGAACACCAGTTTTTCTTGGCAAATAGCAATAGCAACAAAATTAGACATTTAATTGTTATAGAATACATAGTAATATGTAGCTAAATATAACTTTAGGTATCATGTAATTCATAGAAAGAAAACTGAGGCCCACAGAAGCTGAATACTGCCCAAAGTCACATAACAGTGTAAGGTTGAGCAGGTTTTCTGACTCACAGTCCAGATGTGTATTCAGTCTCTGTTCTTTTTGCATTGTTTCTGACGAGAGCTACTAAAGTCATAACTTCTGGTTAAACACTTAATCTGAGATCAGATTAATTCCTAACCAAAATTGAAATGTATAAAAACAGATTAGTTGAGCTTTTTGGGGGTAAAATATAGAATTTTTGTTTTATTTATATTAAATGGCAGAACAGTTTCCTTAGTGAGATTCTGAACAGATAGACCTTGGTAATTAAGTCTTGATTTTCTAAAAAAAGGTAAGATTGTCTGACCAGCGCCCTTGAGAAATGATGACAAAAGGATATCAAAGTGTTTACTTACCAGTAAGTTGCTAAAGTTGACAGATTAACTAAAATCAGAACATCTAAAGAAGTCTTCAAAGATAGTCCCCATGTGATGATTCCTGTCTTTGGCAAATTAAGATGACTGTCACAACATTCTTTCATTAGCTATACAACCCAAGAGGATTGAAAACGTATACACAGACAGAAATATGAACATTCATAGCACATTATTTGTAATAGCCCAAAACTAGGAACAAACCAGATGTCTACCAACCGATAAAATAATAAATAAAATGTAGTAGAATATTATTAAAAAATAGAATATTATTAAGAAACAAAATTAATGAAGCCTTCATATATGCCACAATGTGGTTGTACTTTGAAAACATTCTAAGTGAAAGAATCCATCCACCAAAGACAACATATTGTTAAATTCCCCTTATATGACATGCCCAGAATAGGCAAATCCATAGGGGCAGAAGGTAGAGTAGTGGTAGCCTGGGTCTGGAGGCTGTAGGTAGAACAAATGGTGAATGGCAGCTAATGGGCATTGGGTTTCTTTTTGAGGTGATAAAAAATGTTATGGCTGCAGAGCTGTGAGTATACTAATAATCATTTAATTGAATTGCTCAGTAGTGTTGTTGCCAAAAAAAATTTATCTCTTCATATAGATGAGGTTGATTGAGTAGTTTTTTGGTTTATTGGTTTTGTTTTTTTTCCCTTCTTTTTTTTTTTTTTTGTACTAGGGATTGAACCCAAGGGGCACTTAACCACTGAGAAACATCCCCAGCCAAGTTGCTCAGGACTCACTAAGTTGCTGAGGCTAGCTTTGACTTTGGAATCTTCCTACCTTAGCCTCCAGAGCTCCTAGGTTGAAAAGATTATAATTAGTAACTATCTATGTACTCTTAATGAGTAATCCTTCTGGTTGAATTATCTTCATTTCTGTGCCTCTACAATTCACTCTCCCTACTTTAATCAAGGAATTTGCATTCCAACTGGCACCTAACAGATTTTCATTTCTCAAGTGCAGGGTACTATTTGGTCTATCAGAGACCCAATTCAAAAATCAGTACATCTAATCACATTTAATCTTCTTATGATATAGAAAGAGGTGGCATTCTCCATTTTTCCAATGAAGGAACTCAGACTCAGAATTTTTAAGTTGGTTAGTAAAAGGCTGAGTGACACTTAGAAACAGATCCCATCTGAAATCCCAGACCCCTGCTTTCTACCCTATTACCCTTTCTCCTTTGAACACATTTACATTGAGGTCTGCAAAATGGTGAACTTTGACAGTAGTGGGGGCAGTTCTTCATCATGCTATGACTCAGTTGACTGGAAAACATACTGGCAAGAACATTAAATGGCAGAAGAGTTTTCTCAGTGAGATTCTGAAGAACAGATAGACCTTGGAAATTAAGTCTTGATTTTCTAAAAAAAGGTAAGATGGTCTGACCAATGCCCTTGAGAAATGATGACAAAAGGATTTCAGAGTGTTTACTTGTTTTCATTCAACTTACTGAACAATACTGGGTTTGTTTTCCTGTTGAGCATATGCCCCATATTGCCATTATACATTTGAAATTTTTTGAATTCCCAAGCACATCTGGTCCAAAGAATTTCAGGATTGAAAATTTAGGAAGTGACTTTGAAAGGATAATGATGTAATCATTTAGCCTATGATGGTTCTTTGATTTATACAATTATAAATAAATAAGGTAGACAAACCACTTTATTGCTCTGCCATGACTGATGAAAGTCTATGTCCTAACAGAGTTTAAGCATAAATGCCCATAATGATATTTGTAACTTTGTGTCTTACTGTTGATTATTAATTTAACCAATATATATGGGCACACTATAAGTCTCTGTGCTCTCTATTATGGGAATTTAATTAGCAACTATAAAAGTGTTTTATAGTCCATATTTCCTCATGCATATCATTAAGTTTTGATATTGCTAATAATCAGATGCAGTATTTTGCACTGACTGCTAGAAAAGGGCTATCAGGTGGTGCTTAGTTCAAGAATTTATTGCTGGTTCATTCTTGGTCATTCTCATGTCATCCATAGTCTTAGGAACCTATGGTAAGAGAATTAAGTTATCTCTTTATCACATGACTGAAATGCACAGAACTAGGAAAAATGACAGAAACTGTTCTAAAAACTGGGGCTAAAACTGAATTTAAGAAAGATATTATGTTCATTGTTGTTCTCCTTTTAGGTCAGTGAGAAATTATAGGATTTTTGCTGAGAACTATCTGTATATTTAAGTTCTTTGTGTTATGATAGCCATAGTATTAGCTTTTTTTTTACTGTGAATACTTAAGTTTTTATGCTGATATAATAACACTTTCAGCTAATTTATCAATTTTAGTAATGTAACAATTGATGTAGTATTTTTGTAATTGTTTTCATTCAACTTACTGGACAGTATACCCTGCTGGGCTTGTTTTCCTGTTGAACATATGCCCTATATTGCCATTATATGTTTGAAATTTTCTGAATTCCCAAGCACATCTGGTCCAAAGAGTTTCAGGTTTGAAAATTTAGGAAGTGACTTTGAAAGGATAATGATGGAATCATTTAACCTATGATGGTTCTTAGATTTATACTATTATAAATTTTGTAAGAAAGGGAACTTAAATCTTACTCAACTTATATCTACAGCAAACTAATAACAACAAGTGAACTTGTTTTCCTGTACTATAAAAAGGTTAAAAGTTTCTAAACTATTCACAGTATAACACGAGATAACAGTAACAGTGCTTTTGATCTCCAGGTTTAACTTGCACAGAACAGAATTTTATATCAAAATCTGGTTATCATCAAGCTGCCTCAGAACATGGCCTTGTTGTCATTGCTCCAGACACCAGCCCTCGTAAGTATTCTTGCTACAGATTTTCTATAAAAATTTAAATATTTAAGGACTAAGTTATAAATGGTATGTACATTATATAATTTGTTTCATTTTTTGCTATTATCTCTTAAATCTTTCAAGTGACATCATGACTCTAAAATACCATGCTCTGAGTGAAAAGTGGAAGCAGGAGGGAATTATATCAGAGCACATTAGAAGACTTTTTCTTCAAGATAGAAAATTGAGCACAAGCTTGTCACAGTAGTAAAGAGAATTAAAGAAATAGAGTAGAGGGGGTGGGTTATTAGGAAGGGGCTCTCTATATAGTTCTGAAAGATAACTTCTTTATGGACACTTACTATAAAACAGGAAACATATATTCAGAATCCATAGATGGAACTTCATGAACAAAGAAAGATAATGAGCCTTACCTTGGAAGCTGAATTCTGTTTGGCAGGTCATTCCCTCTCACCTTATTGGCCAGAACTAGTCACATGGTCCCTATACCAGGCCAGGAGGTCCAGGAATACAGTCTTACCAAGTACTCCAAAAGAGAGAGCTCCTAAACAGCTATAATGCAAATGGATTTGCATATTTATCTAAAAGTACATTATTAAATAAATTACCAGAGAGTGGATAAAAATACCAGATTTTTTCTTGACAGGTGGCTGCAATATTAAAGGGGAAGATGAGAGCTGGGACTTTGGCACTGGTGCTGGGTTTTATGTGAATGCCACTGAAGATCCTTGGAAGACTAACTACAGAATGTACTCTTATGTAACGGAGGAGGTGATTTAATTAGTAGTTTAATTATTGACCGATAATTGTAAAGAGTTTAATTTTAGACACAAAGTCCTTCCAGTTCTCAGAATTTGAAATTAGAGTATGGTATTGGTGAATCTATTTCATATATTTTTATGAACTACCTTAGTGAAGATTGTAAAGTTTACTAATGTTATAATGATATTTGCTGCAGTTTAAATTAATACTAAGTATGAATTTAAAGATTTTAATAGTTATTGAGAATGTATATATTATCCAGCTTATCAAAGAAAATAGAATAAGCAATAACCTTTGATTTCCTGACAGATGGTTCATTCAAATGTATTTCATAGTGATAAAACAAGGCTTAGTTAGAAAGGATAAGTGGTAAAGCATTACTTCTATTCATAATATTTATGTACAGTTTATGCATTTTTTAAAAATTTTATGATTTTATTACATCATAAAAACTCAATAATTAAAATTTTAATGACAAATAAGTCTTACACTCTGAATAATAGTTGTGTTTTAGTATATTGCAGTTTTTTCTGTGATTAATTTTCACATAATTATAATTTTTTTGCTTTTCTTTATTTTAATTATAGAAAGTAAATACCAGTATTATTCTTATTTTAATAATTAAATAATATTCTGCCAAATGAAATAAACATTTTACATTGGAAAATAATACATTATGTTTTTGTGTATATTTTTTTTTACCATAACAAATGTTACTATATTAATTGTCTTTGTACATAATTTTTTACCCCTAAGGATTTTTCCCTTGAAATGTATTCTAAAATGTGAAATTACTAGGTGAAAAGTTTGGAACATTTTAAAGGCTCTTTCTGCATAATCTTCTTATAAAGTTGCTTTTAAAGAATTCTATGTCCTATGTTATTCTGAGTGATATTAACAACTATTGTCTACCTGAGTTTTTGTTTTTATTTTTCTTTAGTCTTTATCAGCTGAAAACATGTTAAGAATGTGATTTGGATATTGTGTAATTATTTTATATAACTTTGAAAAAGCCTAAACTTACTTTCTCTGATAATTTTTGTCATATTTAAATTCTTTCTAGCTTCCACAACTCATAAATGCCAATTTTCCAGTGGACCCCCAAAGGATGTCTATTTTTGGCCACTCTATGGGAGGTCATGGAGCTCTGATTTGTGCTTTGAAAAATCCTGGAAAATATAAAGTAAGATTACCAAAGCCTAAGGATAAATATTTTTCTTAAATAATATGATATTAGGAATTCTCAGATGTGAAAATTATGATAATGTTGTAGTATTGGGATTAAACTTTTTCTAAGTGTTGGGAATTTCAGGGTATTGACAGAGGGTATTAAGTTTGATTACATGACATGTTATAGAATCAGAAGCATAGGAATTCCATCAGAGTGGTTTCTTGTTGGCCTACTAGAAGTTTATAAAATGTAGCTTATTTTTTCCATTACTTTTATTCAAACTCTAGTTTTGAACACATTTTTCCCTCCAAAAGTTGTTATATTTGATTAATGTTATTGTGACAGTTTGTCATTTATTTATACTTTTGCCAGGAATCTTTGAAAAATTTACTTAATTTTTTGAGGTTAAAGAAAATATTCATGATTTGTAGAAATTTAAGAATTTTATCTTAATGCATCTACATGTAAACTGAATTAGAGCATGATTGAAAAACATCATTTTCAGCTTTTCCTATTATTTGAAGCTTTATAGCTTTACATTTTTGTTTGTTTAAGTGAGCCACAATTAGTAACCACCACATATGGAGTGTCATTCTGTGCAGAGCATATTTCAAGAGTTGAAAAGGAAATGTCAAAGCAATGATCATCTTAAGATTACTTCTGTTTTTAAAATTATAAAGCTACTCTGTATAGCAAGGTTTGTTTAACCCATTTAATTCCCTTAGTAAAGATGTCTTTTCCTTGTTTGTTTCTATTTTTGCAATGATGGGGATTGAACCAGAACTTTTTACACTTGTAGTAAAGATTATTTACTTTAGATGTGCTACTGAGAAATGAAAATATTTCTCATAGCAATTTCATAGTATAACAGTGGAAACAGGATTTTATTTTCTATTTTGTGAATATAAGGCAGTTAGTTTATTGTGTCTGAGGTATAAAAGCAACTTTAAATTTTTTGTATAAAATCTACTTGTTTTTAATAAAGGTATTGTTAAATATATACATTGATAAATATTCTAAAGCTGAGAGATTCCATCTTTGTACCTTTATCCAATGGAAAACAACATTGTAGGGTCTGGGGATGTGGCTCAAGCGATAGTGCACTCGCCTGGCATGCGCAGGACGCTGGGTTCGATCCTCAGCACTGCATAAAAATAAAAATAAAGATGTTGTGTCCACTGAAAAAACTAAAAAATAAATATTAAAAAATTCTAAAAAAAGAAAAAAGCAACATTGTACAAAACACAAAATTGAGTTAAAAATTTTGTCATGTTGAAGGTATTCCTCCTCACTGCTTTCTTTCACTGTTTAAGAGAAATAATGTCTCAGGTGTAATAATATGTTCACTAAGGTAAGAATGAGCTGTTTCATATTAGTATGGACTAGTTTTCAGGGGAAAAAGTAGTAGAAACTCTGAACACAAACTTTTGTTTATACCTTCATTAAATAAACCCATGGTTTTATGTTATTTGGGCACCTATAATTATTAGCTCTCTTAGAGTATACAAAAGACTGTATTATGGAGAGGTGTACAGTGGAGGCCTGTAATATATCAAAAGAAAAATTGTTCACAGGGATTTTCATTGCAAGTTAATTTTTAAGCTAGTTGAAAATATCTATTCATATTTGATTTAGCAAAATTAAACTTATTTTTGAATTTCCTTTCTTTCTGAAGTCTGTGTCAGCATTTGCGCCAGTTTGCAACCCAGTGCATTGTCCTTGGGGCAAAAAAGTCTTTAGCGGATATTTGGGAACAGATGAAAATAAATGGAAGGTAGGTCCTAGATAACGTTAATACTTGTTCTTAAGTTTCCAAGTTTTTAAAAAGCTTACACACCATAGATATATGCCTAACCCCTCGAATTAAGGCTCTAGAGCGGAGAATAAACTTACACGTAGAATTATATAAGTAATCTAAAGATGATTTAAAGAATGCAGAATAATGTGTGTAGGCTCTATACAAATATACAAATATAGCAATATGTAAGGAACTTTAGCATCCACACATACTGGGTGTTTGAGAGACCTTTAGAACCAGTTCGCCACAGATACTGAGAGATGACTGTACCTAACAACCATCACAAAACCCAAATTTCTAATTTTATTGAGTCATGAAAGATGCTCTGAGGCTACTTTTTATTTTGCTAATGGTTTATTTATATTTTTATTTCAAAATAAAAATTACTTCTAACTTAACCAAGAAATATCACTTTATTACTAAATTTTAAATCATATGTCTGATGTAAGCAACCTCAGAGCTTAAATAACTTTAAATTTTCTTTTGATCTTGGCATACTATATTCAGAAGACTATCTTCTTATGCACTTTTAAATTTAGTTTTCAATATTTCCTCTTTCAGGCATATGATGCGACGTATCTTGTAAAGTCCTATCCAGATACTCAGCTTGACATACTAATTGATCAAGGGAAAGATGACCAATTTTTGCTAGATGGACAGCTACTCCCTGAACATTTTATTTCTGCCTCTTCAGAAAAGAAAATCCCTGTTGTTTTTAGATTACAGGAGGTAAGTACTAGGAAACTTAAGATATTCTAAATAATAAATCTAAAAAACAGGATTCCATAGTAAATCTCTTTATTTTAGAATATAAAGTTACTATTTTCTAGTCAGATAGTTCAACTATATTAAGACTCTAGAAGTGAAAGCTTTCCTATTAAATTCATGATATCTGAGACCCAATTTGATAGAAATAGGAAAGCTTTAGGCAATGAAAATTATTTAATTTTCTCCCTACTGTCAAGACTTAATACTTGAATGACACTGAGTCGCTAACATAAGTGAACATATTATCGTTCTTTACACATGCACCCTGATACAGTAGAATAAGGACAAGCTTTTCTGTTCGTTACTCTGCATTTCATATGCACATCTTAGCCTTAGAAACTGAGCATTGTTCCTCTCATATATGTGCTTTGCATTATTTGACCTTTATGCTACTTTGTTGTACTACTCCCAGTGATTTAAAAATAATTCCTGAATTTCAGTTGGATTGGAGATTTTCCTTCACTGAAGTACTGTAGTTTTAAGTAAAGAAATTCTGCTTTTTTAAAAAAGTATTCATAATCTTCAGAGCATAATATAAACAGAATCTATTTCAGGGTGAGTAATGAACACTGAAAATCATACACAATGCTGATTTTTTAAAAACATTTTTGATTCATGTTTAAGAGTAATGTATCAGCCATTGTAATTATGATGGTAAATGTTCAAATAAATGTAGTCAGTGTGTAATGTGGTTCCTTATAGTTTACAAAATGTTTTCATGGCTTTAACTCATTTGCAGTCGTTACACCACCAAATGAGAGATCATTTCTTTCCTGTCCATCTGTTTTACAGATGAGGAGACAGTCTCAGAGAGGTAGCCTATTTATCTAAGGTCAAACAACTAGTATCTGGTAGAATGGGGACTAGAAGCAAAGTCATGACTACAAATGCTGTCCTCTGTCATCTGTCTAGCCATTCCCAGGCAACATGATGTGATCCTAGGAGCAAAGGAATGGAGTAAGAGCTAGCACCAGAGAAAATGTACATAACCTGCTGTCTCTATAGTTTATGTAGTACATCTTAGCAACGTCCTTTACAAGGATATTTTGAACATATGGGGAAAAAATATATATATATATACACACACACACATATGTATATATATGTGTGTGTGTGTGTGTGTGTGTGTATATATTTTTTTGAGATATATATATCTTGTTGTCTCTTGAATTTTCTTAAGTAATAGAATATTTTCTAGGTTTATTTGAACATTTTACCATCACAATTAACATTTTAGATCAACGATCAGCCTTGAGAAATCCATATACCAGTTTGATTATAAGTGGAGTAGTGCATTTAACTATATTAACTGTAGCTATAAGTGACGTACTGAACCATATTTTTTTCCCAAATAACCTTAACTCTTGGCATTAGCTCTGTTGGATTGCCTTGTCCTATGCCAAGAAATTCTGTTGTTTCTATAGACAAAAGTTCCTGCCTGCCAACAAAATCTGAAAATCTCTGTAGTTACAAAAGCAGCCTCAAGTTAACACACAGGAGAGGAAAAAAATAAATCTACCTATTTTTTTCTAAAATACATATATCCCAATCAATGAAGAAAATGTGGTTGTCTGAGCCAGACATGGTGGCGCATATCTAGGCAGGAGGATTGCAGGTTAGAGGCCAACCTTGCAACTTAGTGAGACCCTGTCTCAATCAATCAATCAATCAATCAATCTATAAAGTCAAAAGGGCTAGGGATATAGCTCATTGGTAGAGTACCCCTGGGTTCAACACCCCAAAACATTTAAAAAAAAAAAAAAAAAAAGTGGCTGGCTATACTTATGAGGAGTCAAGACTGAGCAATAAATTTTTCGGAAAAAAATAAAAAAGTATTAAATTCATAATCAGTCTTGAACTCAGGCACAATTTTTTGTTCAGTTTCCTTAACAGCAAGGTCAGGAAGAGTGAACTACATGTTCTAAAGTAGATTGGATTTGTTGTAATTGGATCAACAACTTAGTGGACATGCTTGAGTAGTGGCTCCAGAGGGGCTACTTTCAGATTTTCTAAAACCTTCCATTGACCTCAGATTACCTGAGGTCTGAGAGTTTCATCAACTGCTTTATCATTTGATGATAAGTACAGTATAACTGTGTTTCTTTCTGAAATAGAAGCTGTGAAAAAAATAATATGAAAATGACAAGGGGTATATATACATAAATGATGTAAAGAAGAAGAAAGAAAATTATAACAATGGTGCATGATTATACAAGCCCATTCCTTTACCTCTTATTAATGGTGTTAAATGCTCACAATTTTTATATATACTTTGTCAGCTGTCAAAAAATTGAGAATGTAATTAGTGCAGGGGACTAATTTTTCATATAATTTTTCTTTTTATATCTCGATTTCAGATAGTCTAAACTAAAAATAACAAAAGACAGCAGAATTCTGAGAGCAAGTATTCAAAGATCAGATCTTGGCCTCAAAAGGGAAGGGCCTAATGGTTCTTATCTTTAGTTATTGAAGTTATGTAATGAAAAAAATTCACTGACCTAACACTGATGAAACTTGCAGAAATAGTATTCCCTTTTGGAGACCAGAAAAAGAAGCTATCTGGTCTCCTGAAGTCTCAGAACTTTTTTGAAGATTCAAAGGCTATTTTGGCTGAGGCTTCTTAAGATCTTAAGATTTGATCTTTATATACTAGCTATCAGAATTCTGCTACATAATGTTTTCTTTTTTTTTCCCAGTGTAGGTTCCCAGATGCCAAAATATAAAAAGGAAAATTATTTGGAAAAAAAATCCCCATGTGCTAATTCTGCCATTTCAAACAATAGTTTTTTTGGTTTTTTTAGATAGTTGAGAGAGCATAAGTTGTGAGCATTTGACACCATTAAAGAGGTAAAGGAATGAAGTTGGGTAAACTGTACACATGATTTGCCTCTTAATAGACAAGTAAGAACATGCAAAATGCTCTAGAAATATAGGATTTTCACACTCATTTGTGTATTCTGTTAGCACAGTTATCTAGCCTGTGAACTGTCAGTGTTTGTTAAGTAAGCAAATGAATACCTTTCAACAGGCTGCTTGTTAGTACTCTGAAGAGACTTAACAACCTGGAGATTCATATCCCAACTTTTCTAATTGGGTTTAGAAAATATATAGCAAAACACTGCCTGTTAGAGTAAATGTCCATCATAGCTGCTGAAGCACTGCTTCTTTCTGAGAGTCAAGAATGAAAGAATGTGTTTATTTTTATACTCCTGGAGTTGGAATTTTACTACCAAGGATTTTTCCATTTAAAGTGTGAGGTAGAAGAGGAAAGTAAGATCCCTTCAAGTGTCACGAAGTATAGGCAGTTGCACAAGCTGCTTAACATACCAACCCAACGCATTAGTGATAAAACTGAAGATAATAAAGAAAGCCACCCCACTTAATAACAGTTATAAACAGGACTTGAAACTAATCAAGGATGACACAGTTAGCTCTAAATGTATACCAATAGTTGAAATTTGTTCGCTTGCCTCTATATTGACATTTTAAAAAAAAATCGTTCTTGGTCCCTCATAACTAGGATTTTCTGTTTTCTCATAAAAGTGAATCTTCCTTTAAATATCATTATGGAAGTTAAAGACATTTGATTTGGAGTTAGGATGAAGTACTGTTTTCTTGCAGTGCATTCCTGCAAGCTCAAAACTGGCACTTTCTTGTACCATGGAACTTCTCAAAGAATAATAATAAAAGCAACAGTGGCTGTCTATCATGTTGGAAACTGCAAGGCCTTTAGCTTCCATGAAACGAAGGATAAAAATAGGGCATTCTCAGTCCATTAGGGTTTTCTCACACAAATCTTTTGAGGCATCTGTTCCCCACATCTCTGCCTATTTTCTCTCAGATCCATGTTTTTGATCTGTGAAAAATGGCAGATACTACTTAGTCCTCAATTGCAAAGGTTTTGTGGCCTAGAAATCAAGTATTTGTTTAACAATTCTTAAATTTCTTTCTTTATATAAGAATCTGCTCTTGGGCTGGGGTTGTGGCTCAGTGGTAGATTGCTTGCCTAGCATGTGTGAGGCACTGGGTTTGATTCTCAACACCACATATAAATAAATAAAAATGAATAAAGATCCATCAATAACTAATAGAAATTTAAACAAAAATCTGCTTTTTAGCTCGAAATTTAACTTCTAGAGCTGATCTGAGAAATGTCATACCAAGTAACTCCAGGTCTCAGCCTTGATCTTGACAACCTCCTGTCAGATTCACTTCCACAATAGAAGATAGTTTGCTTTTAAATTACTTTGATGATTTTACATTAAAACTTTAGTAACTGCTGTTCCCATGATATACATTCCATATAACTCTGGAAATAAGAGATGGAAAATATTTACTGATTCATCAAAACCTTGGGGATTTGCCTTATTCCCTAAAACTCCAGTGATATTTTTATTAGATCTATTTTTATTTCTTATGTGCTTTAGAAAAGTTTAACTAGTAAATCCTTCAGAGATGATTTTCTTGTTTAAAACTTTAAAAGAAATCTAAGACTTTTATCTTTTTCAGTTTATTCTACCTTGTTTCTTTTGTGTTTAGTGTGGGTGGCCATCTCCAAAATTATTTGGTGTTTAACACCCTTAGAAATTTCTTCCTACATCAATATTTTTCTTCCACCTTTGAAGGCTGCTACTTTCTCGTTCTCAAAGGGAAAAGGATTGCCTCTCCATTTTACTTTTTAATATTTTTTTTAGTTGTACATGGACACAATACCTTTATTTTGCTTATTTATTTTTATGTGGTGCTAAGGATTGAAGCCAGTGCCTCACATATGCTAGGAAAACACTCTGTCACTGAGCTACAACACCAGTGCTGGTTTTGATGCCCTAATTTTAATGGATGGGTTGACTGAGCTCTGTTTCACCTGCTTGGCACACTACTTTTTTTTCCTGTTTCACAGTAGTTTTCAAAAGGTTTGCTGACTTTTTACCCAATTTGATATATTGCTAAGGAATGTCAGGGTTTAATGAATTACTCTTCAAGGTTATGATATACTTTTACAGTAGGAGGTAGAGTTCTTTGTGTGGTTTATAGTGGCCGTTTTTGGCTTCCCAAACCATAGAGCTTTGGGGCATTTTTATGTTCTTTTTCTGTATTGTTTATATGTGCTTATTTTGTATTTTAGTATTATTAGTATGCATCTCTTGTCGAACTAAAATGTCTTGCTCATGTTTCTAAGCTCTAAGTTTACTTCTTTTAATCCTTGTCAATATGACCACATGTCTATTCTGCACATGGAATTAATGCTTTATTTCCTCTTTGCGTATACATTGTGGCATTTAGAAACTAGGCTATGCAGGATGTTTCATTTTCCTTCATATTTCTACTGCTCTTTTAATACACGGTGAAAATGTTTAAGTACAAGTTTGAGAACTTTGATTTTGATTAAACCTTACTTATAATATTTTAGCTATTTATAAACAAATTAAGTAACAAAAGAGATTTATTCAGTGTCCTTGTTAATATTGATGTTTCTAAATGGTAGATAACTGTTATCTCCTGTATTTTTGCCTTCTAGGGTTATGATCATAGCTACTATTTCATTGCAACCTTTATTGCTGATCACATTAGACATCATGCAAAATACCTGAATGCATGAAAATCTTCTGATAAGAAAATCTCTTCAAGATTATAAAAATTATAATAAAGAGAATTGCCGAGGGAAAATATTTCAAAACATTGGATTTCATAATGCTAATAACTTCGTTGTACAATTGAATTACCTGAATAAATATAAATAAAAGTCACTTCGGAATTAAAAAGTTATTTTACCAGTGTTCATATAGTGTTCATTCTTTAATACTTCAGAGCCTTTTCCATGTAATTTGGAAATCCTTGTTGTATTAGCCTCAGGTCACAGAATATGAATATAATCCTATCCAAATCATAGAATGCTAACTTGGGAACAGAGGATTTAAAGGTAATGTGGTCTAAACTCAGTTTTTCAGAATTTCAGCTTCTGAAGGCTTGGACTGCCTTTGTCATGTTCATTTATTATCTCTATTATCTAGCAGGTACTTGATCTCTATCAGGCATTTAATAACTATTGTTGGCTACACAACAAGAAAGTAGACTTAGAAGATTAAGAGAATGGCTCATTGCTTCAGCCATGTGACACAGATGGGACAGAAGACAGGTTTCCTAAATGCTAATCCAGCCCTATTGTAATAGATCAAAGGGAATAAAAGTAAGTTGCAGGTCAATATACATAATTTGATACTGTTGACATTTTTAAACTCCATCAAAACAATATGTATATTTCCTATGGGTGCAAATGTATTTCATAGGAAAAGATCTGAATGAAAACAATGGCAGTCGCTTCTGGGAAAAAGGGGTGGTGGTCCAGCAGAATTGAGGATGAGTGCCAAAGTGGCTTTACTTCTAATGATGTCATTTTTATAAACAATTCATTCATGTGTATTTTGAGTTATAAAATATTAATTTTAAACATTGTTTAGTGAATATTGAAAATCAGAAAAAAATAAAAACAGTGCTTACACATCTTCACAATTCTTACTTTGTTTATATTTCTGAGAGTTTAAGTTTTGATTCAAAAAGACCTATTTTTTTTTTTTTCCTGAACTAGGGATTGAACTAAGGGGCACTTAACAACTAAGCCACATCCTCAGCCCTTTTTATTTTGAGACCGGGTCTCATTGAGTTGCTTAGGGCCTCACTAAATTGCTGGCTTTGAACTCACAATTCTGTTGCCTCAGCCTCCGGAGCTGCTGGGATTACAGGCATGTGCCACTGTGCTTGGCCAATAACACATTTTTTGATGGAATTTTTGCAGCTTACTCTGCCATAGTGAGACTTTCAAAAGAAAACCTGATAAGGGTCTTTCTATTTTATCATTCTAAGGCTGATTCCTTATCTGAAAATGGAGTAAATAAGAACCCCTACACCATGTCACTCGGAGCTGTGGAGCATAGCAAGACAAGATGCCCATGGCAAAGCACTTTCAGCTGTGTGGCTTCAGCTGAGCTACTGGGCTCCAGCTGAGGTGTGCCTTTCTTGGGGGGTGCAAAAGACCATGAAAGCTCTGTATTAGAGCTTCTGTGATAATTTTTATTTTATCCCCTTCTGTTAAAATTTATGTTCTTTATAATATACATAACATCGGTATGGTAATATACACAATTACAAGTAAAAATCCATATATTGTGGGTATGTGTGTCAAATATGAGACCCTACCCCTCCCCAAATTCATCTACCACAACTTTTTTTTGTTTTTCTACAATTATTTGAGCAAAATGGAAAAATCCTATAAGGTCCAACGTGAGTATCTGCTGGGCTCTGCCTGTACTATGCTGATGACAGAAAGACAATATTTTGCTCCAGTTGAACACAGTTTGTAAATTTCTCATCCTTTAGTAGCCACGGCCACCCCAGCAGAAAATGTCCTTTGGAGATGTAAAAGGAACACATGCCCTTGAATCTGGCCTACACCCAGGACTCCAATCCAAAGACACTGAATTTCCAACTTCAGAAGATGTCAGCCTTCTCTCTAGTGATAACCAGCAGTTTACTTTCTGATGACAGTATGTAAAGATAAAATCCTAAGCCTTCTTTTTGTGGATAATAAGGGCATACATCATCAGTCAATTAAATTAACATTTTAATCTCATTGGGTTTACTAGAACAAATTCAAAAAATGAGGCATGGAGGTGGGAACTGGGTGTGGCAAGAGACTTAATTTTTTTAATCCAATATATCATTTCTGGCACTCTGGTTTTGGAGAGAGAGAGAGAGTGTGTGTGTGTGTGTGTGTGTTTTCAAATTCTGCATGGAGAGTTGTAATACTGAGCACAGGTTGTTCAGGTGGTGAGTTGAAGGCAGACTGCTGTTTTAGTCATTGATGGCTGAGTAGGCTTATTAGAATAAAATGTACATTTAGGTCCCTTCTGAAATCATTTCTGTAAAAACATTGCCACCCAGTGTTTCAACTAGGTGAAGCACAGTTGACCATGAACTCTTGAAAATAGTTTTCCAGAGTGAATAGCCACAGCTCAGTCCCTTAGCTATACAGATGTCCCTGTCTTGCTTACAATAGACCTTTGGGAGCCACTTCAGATCCAAACTGTGTCACTAGATTAGGTCTGTTACAATATCTTTATGCTGGTTTTAATCAGGATGATAATTTATGATGGGTTTAATCAGGATGTTAACTCCAGTATAAATTGACCATTGATGGTCAAATATGGCCTGACAGACTATAGAATACTTCTTGCTTTAAATAGTGTAACCCAGCCCATAACTGACCACATAGGACAGAAAGGCTGTCATCCCAGATGTTAGAATGCTCCTTTGATTTTAAGTATGAATTCCAAAATCATCCTTCTGAGATCCCAGCTTTACACAGTTGTTCTGACTTTGCTTATCACAAAAAGTCAAGGCTAAGGATTTGTCACAACTTGATCCTTCCCTCAGTCTTTCTGCTGCAGTCCTATCCACTCACCCATCAAGAAACGATCTCCAGCACTTTCAAAGCAACCTCAGACAGCCGCCTCTCCTCAGAGTCCCACCTGGAGAAACCATGTCCCATGCCTCACCATGGAGGAAACAGGTCACTTTTAGGTCAGGATCTGCCCTATGCTCTGCCACCCCAAGAGCTCAGGGTTTGTCAGGAATGTATCAGATGCCAGATCCCCGTGTCCAAAATTCCAAGAAGCACATGCCAGGCTTTTTAGATAGTCTTTTTCATTCCCTGTATGGTGAAGTTATAGGTGATCTTCCCTAATTTACTTTTACCTTCCAAAGTTTATACATGATAAACATGTATCACTTTGATAAACAGGGAGAAAAATCCCCAAATGAAATAAGAAGAATAACAACAACAATAACAACACAAATAGCTTATTAAACTGGGAGAGAAAAAAAATGGCAGGGAAACTAAAGCCTTCTTCAGTAAATTCCTTTTTTCTTATTTTTTGCTCTAGTCTTGATCTGTCTTAGCATTTTAACCAGCCCAGATAGGCTCAGTATATCTGGTTTTATCACACAAAATATGCTTTCCTTTGTATCTCCAAATAGCTTATTGTTCAGTGCTTTTGATTTTTTTGAACACTGGAGACTTCAGTTAGGCCAGACCTGCTAGAAGACCTCTGTCTATTGAGAACACACATCTGACATAGCTGAGACCAAATCTCCTTGCTCTGTGACCCTGAAGGACTTGAACACTCTGAGACTCAGCTTCTCTGTATTAGTTTGCATTCCTCATTGGAAGTGATAAGGCCCAACTGAAATAGATTTTAAGCAAAAAGTCACAGCCCCTTAGAAGTCCTCATGGGAAGGAAGTTTGAGTACCTGAACTTCAGAAATACAGAGCTCTGTTCTTATTGGACCCAGGAGTGCAAACACCAGGGAATTCTTTGCTGTGTCTTATCCCTGCTTCTCTTTGCCCATCAGTTTTCTCCTCTAGGTCTTTTCTAGGCTTTATGTCTTCTATCTTCAATTATCAGGAAATGAAAGAAAATCCTGGGTGTCTTAGTTCATTCCATGCTGACATACAGAATACCTGAAATGGGGTAAATTATAATGAACAGAAATTTATTTGGCTCACAAGTTTCAGAAGCTGGAAACCCCATATGGAGGGAGAGGATCTGGTGAGGGCCTTCATGCAGCATCGTCCATGGGGGGAGTACAGGCCAGAGAGTGTGCTAGAGAGAAAGAGGGTGCTAAACTCATCCTTTTTAAGAAACCCATTCCTACAGTAATGAATCCACCCCCGCAGTAACAGCATAATCACATTTTAAAGGTCACACCTTGCAACACTCTTGCACTGGGGTTAAGTTTCCAACACATGAACCCTGGGGAAACATTCAAACAACAGCATTGTGGAGAGACTGGTTGGTAAATTGTAAAGTGGCTGCTCCTGAACCAATAAAGTATAGCCAGGTGCACTGCAGCATCACTATAAGGACCACAAAAGCCTCACCGTAGAAGCATGTGGCATGAGGTATCCATTCTAAACCTCTTCCTCACCTGGTTATGGTTAAGTTTTTGAACCAACATATATGGTTTTGTTAATTCTTCTAACTGGCTTTTCTTCAGTACCTACTTTATGCAAGCACTATTATAGACACTGGAGAATCTGCAGAGAACAAAGCAGATGGGCAGCCTTGCTCTACTGGGGCACAGTTCAGTTGCAACACCTGATTCACAGTAACCTCCTGCTAAACACTGGTGTGTGGATGAACAGAGTGGCTTAGAGTGGCTTCACTTGTGGTCCCCATGCACCACAAGAGCCAGTTTCTAATTTCTTTCCTTCATATCATCCCCAAAACCCAGACTTACCTGGAATGGATGTCTGCTACCTGACTTCCTGTGGAAGATGGAAAATTAGGAGTCACTACTGCCAGATCTATCAGTCTTGCCCGAGAACAGCTCCCAGTTACAGCTGTTGGCCAGGGTCTTCCCCAGCTGTCGCCAATACAATGAGATCAACTGTTGGTCCTGATGCTCACTTGCCCCAGGCAGGCCCCCTGCAGGGCATATACCCTGCTACCATCCCTCCCTTCGCCTTTACAGAGTTCTCAGTTCTCCAGTCTACTGAAGCATGTGTGTCCATGAAGCACCAGACTTCTGTAAGGTGCAGACGGATGACTAAAATGGTGGAGCTTGGCAAAGCAGCAGCATCTCAAATCAGAACATTGTGACCCAGGAATAGATTTTTCTCAACTTAGTAGGTGCAGATCTTAAAACAAGAGGCCCTGACACTGGTCTGTGTTGTCCTCACTCAGGCTAATGGTCCTGGGGCCTGTGTG